ACTGAAATCACATACGAGCATACACACACACACACACCATGTGTCAGCGTATAGCCACATTGAGAACATATTCTACGTCGGCAAAATCGATTTTTAAGTCGACAGAGTGCCGCGCTGGCTTTAGTCCGCCAATTTGATTAGATTTATCGATTTTTATGCGGATTCCTCGATTTGGTATTGAGTTTTTAATTAAAAAACGTTTCGAAAAATGTGTACGTGTCACATCGCAAACATGCGACAAATTATACATAATAATCAATGCATTCTTTGGCGGGCGAGGGAAAAAATTGCGATATTGTGTAAAAGATTTCGAAGAATTTTAATCGAAAAAAGCGGTTTTTAATTATTCGCAAAATTAATTTGCCTCACATTTTTACATTTTTCAAGAGCCAGAACACACAAAGCACAAGCACCTATTTTTATAGTATACAAATTCTGACAATTTTCGCATACATGCATTCGATGTGTAAAATATGTAAAAATGTTGAACATTTTCAAATATTGAACATGTGAGGTGTTTTCCCTCACCGAAACAGAATAAAAATGGATAATTTAATACTTTAATTTAAATACATTTGGTTAACCAATCTTGAAAAGTAACAATATTTAGAGTGAAAAATTGTTTCTCTTGAATTTCGTGTTTACACAAAGTCAAAATGAAAATTTCGAACCAAAATCCAAATGTTTTTGTCAACTAATAAAATGGAATTTATTACAAGCCGAAATTGGCTGTTAATATAATGGAAATGAATTGGCTTTGTGAAAAGCTCCAATAAAATTGAAAGGCAAATTTGTCGATTGAAACAATCACTCTTTACAGCAACAAGAAATCAAAATTGTTATTCAGTTTAAAAATGACTTATTTGCTTCACAATAATTGTCAAAACACCTTTAAAAGGTGAAAACCAAACCTGAATGTGTGGCAAATCCAACCTGTCGCTCATCAGATAAAATCAAAGCGTATCGATCACTGTGTACATTTCGGACGCAAATGTTGATGTTGATACGACGAACCGGTTTGTGTAAACCGTTTTACCACAATAATCAACCGAAGAGGACTTAAATCAAATCGTAAAAAAAAACTCCATCAACAACAACCAGAAAAAAGTCAAACAAAACAACCGAAAAACGCCCACCACATCAATTATCATTATCACATATTCAATTTTCCCGACTGCTAATATTTGGTGAACCGAAATCATATAAAGTGTTTCACCAACCAAAAGCCATACCATTTGAATGTGCGTTTTTTTACTCTCTCTATCACTTGCTCTCACTCTGCCGAATGGTGGCGTGGCTTTCGAAATATCATCAAAATGTGGTTCGCGACGTGTGTGTGTGTTTGAGTTTTTTTTCTCTGTTCGCTAAAAATGTTGAAAAATTTATTCACAAAAATCGGTGAGATCTGAACTATGGGAAGACTTGTGTGTATGTACATTCTCATACAATTATTTTTCCTCTCTACTCGTCGTCATTCGATTCGCGCGGTGACCGCCGGCTGTTGTTTTTGTTGTTGAGTTAAGTGAAAGCCTCAAAACCACTTGGATATACAAAACCGAAAAAATCACCGCACGCCAACTTTTTTCAGCAAATACAATTCGGCGCGGGAAAAAAAATTGCATACGGGCAAGCCGATTGGGTTTGTGTGCATGTTGTTGCCGTGTTTTTTTTTGTTTCTCTTGTGTGCTTTGTACACATGGTTTTTCAATTCCGGTCATTCGAAATTGTACGCATCGTGCGAAAAGTAAAGTGCATTGAGAGCCGATGCAGATGCAGATGCAGATGCACGCCACGTTCACACTCTCAAATTACTGTAATAATCCGCTGATATCCATGTGCTGTCGCTGTGTTTTCCTTTTTTTTGCTGCATCGACGATTTCAATCCAATCCAATTGGATCAACTATTGACAGCGTCAAAAAGCCCTACATTCTCGCTCAAACGCAGGAATTCGTTTTTGATTGCATTATTCGCATACGAAATATAAGAGAGGATAAAAAAACCGACGGCAGTTCGCTTTTTTCCCAACCAAATGGTGATCTTCATTAGACAATACAATGATTGAAAAGTGACCAAAGTGATGGAGTTTTATGAGTTATTTTTAATGGATGTCACATTGTTGCCTTCGAATTCACCGCATGCAAGACCACAATTGAAAATTGCCAAGCAGTTGATGGTGAGTGGGAGGTGGATGCGTGAGGAAACGATGCAAATTGCTTGCATCAGCTCTTTTGTTTTTTGTGAAAAAGGAAAAAGTAGAGAACGCCAGAGTGACGAGTGAGATAGTCGATCAATTGATTTTTCCACGGAAATTCGCTTCAACATTTTCCGAATGGCACATTTTAAACTTTAGTTAAAATTGATTTTCGCATTTAAAAGCCGACTCATTAAATTGAAATTCATTAATCATTTACTCGAAATTAAAATCATTTTATGAATTTCAAACGGTGACCCACACCCACACCCGTACACATGAGGCACACACAAAAAGAGCACGGCCGAATAATTTTTCTATAGAACTTTTGTGTTGTAAATTTATCGGCTGTGTCCGTGTGTATGTGAGTGTGTGGATTTGTCGGATGTGATGTGCTCTGCGATCGAACTGTAATGAACGATAATATTGAATATGTGTATGTGTTCGGCACACAAATTGCCAGTGGTATTACTTTTTGCATGTCGCTATGACAACGCTATACAATTTTTGGCAAAGCTTTTATCGCAGCCGGAAGTTTTTCGCTGGTTCTGTCTCGCTCTCGGTTTCTCTGCATGTGCAATTTTCAATTTTCAAAATGAATTTGTACGCTTGTTCGTTGCATATTCAATAGCTGTGTCGGTTTGTGACTATGTACAATGCTTCTCGCGTTTGTCGAAAGTTTTCGCTTCGCAGTGGATTTAAATTCAGCAATAGACAGGAAAAAACACACACTCCACCTAGCTCATTTGAATTCGGTGATGTAATTGAATGCATCATCCGAAATGCTGATGATTCGGCATTATTCTCTCTGGCATTCATCAAACGATGATGATGATGTGTGTTTGATGTATATTTTTCGCTTGCAACCGATTTGATTGTTTGGCCAAAAAAAAAAAAAATTCGCCTCATGAATATCATTGCACAATCTGGTGTGCATGCGATAAATCGACTAATTCTCATGAAATCACAGCACGCTTTCACTCTATAGATCGCAGTGAATGCGAATTGAAAAATGACTATCGGACGGATGCAGGAAAAAAACACAAATCCATCTAGTTTGTATAGTAAATTTGGACGCGAGTGTATGTCAATTTTCAGCCCCATTTAAATCACTGAACACGCACACTGATTCATGTGATGGTTTTCTGTTTAGATGCAACACCATGGATTTTTCATTTAATTTCCGAGAATTTCTATTATTCAAGCGTTTCTAACAATATCGATGCTAAATTTAGTAGCCATATTTTCAACGTAGTCATTCATTCGACCATAAATCACACTGATTTTCGCTACATAAATAAATTCACTCGCCATTTCAATGGTGCATCACATTCATTTTGTGCCAAAACACATTCAATTCCATTTAAAATGGCCAGGCTATGCTACCAATACTTTGATGTAGGTATATACACGTTTTGAAATGACTGAATTGAATTCGCAATGTGAAACGAATGTCCGATTTTGCCGAATAAATTAATTGGACGATGACCAATGCGTTGTGGTCAATACCCTTATCAATGGAAATGTCGAATTTGATAAAATTTCAATGAGGATTCTTTGTTTCTATTATTTTAGTTGGGCAAAATAAATAAGATTCATTAGCTGAGGGCAAGTTTTGACAGCCGACCGAAGAGAATTCGAAATTGAATTGGAAATGAGAATTTTGTAATTAATTTGCAATCAAATTCAAGAAACTTTTCCGATTGATAAATTCAACAGGATTGACATGTCGGTGAAGTTTGTCAATTGAAAGTTCAAATCATTTTAATAATTAATTTGAAGAAGAGTTACTTCAAGGGATAACCAAGATTGCGTATGCCAATAAAAATGGGGAAAAAGTTTTTAGAAGATTGTAAATAAAGTGATAAATAAATTATGTCATTTCATTTGGTGAGATTGAAAAGATTTCTACTCGATTAACGAATTACGAGCAGCTGATGAATAAATTGATAAGCGGTTTTGCGAACCTCCCCTATGGAGAAAAAACCGGTCTACGGAAGGAAAGTATTACACAGGGAAGAAGAAACTCTTTCATTGCATTGGAATCTGTACACGAGTCTTGAAAAAAACGTGAGCTTTGAGCACGGGTAGCATAGCTTGGCCACACATCTGTTTTCTCACAACGACACGGATGTTGCCTAATTTTTCTCGTCGTCGTCGTTATAAACCCGTCTTGACATAATAGACAACTTTATTTACAAAGCGATTTTTCCGGCATTTTTCAGCCCGCTATTTATTCTGTGGTGATGTATCACTCTCGCTTGGCATCACCCTCACGAATTACTTTGAATGCGAGCTGGAGTTTTTTTCCTTCTTTCTTTCTTAATGCATGGCAAAACAAGCGGAAGGAAAATCGTGAGGAGAAAACGTTTTGCCCGAAGCCGTTCGAAAGAAAGAAAGCGTTGAAACGTGAAAAAAAGGTTTGAGGTATATTTTGTCATGGTGTTCCCTCGGATTTTTCTTGTGAAATGTTTTCGAAGGGTGCCACCGATACATATGTTTCACGAGGTACACCACGGAGATGTGCGTTTTTATAAAAAGCCGAACATAATAATATGTGTGATTATGGGGCTTATGAGTGGCTCACTCTCTCTCTCTCTCTTGTGTTTAACGTGATAATTTTCATTTCAATAAATGTATACGTTGCTTCCGCAAACTCTCTGGCTTCGGGGTGCGTGGTTTATTTTTCCGACCCAAAATCCATTGACTTTACCTGTTGAACGTGTCGAGCAAATATTGCTCGAAGGCTTTTTTTCCGAAATTTATTGCATAAATTAAATTTTAAATTGTGAATAATTTATTGCTTACTCTTACCTCGTCCGCTACGGCCAACAAAGCGCAGATCATTGAATTTAGCTACTTGATTTTTCATCACTGCTGTGCAATTTCGCAGTTCGGCCGCATAATTTTCATCGTTGCCCGCTTTCAAATGAATTGACATCAGAATTATTTTTATAATGAAAAATTCATTTTTCGTAATAGTTCAAATTTGAGAAAATAAAATTGGAAAATTGGGAAATTTTGTATTCCAATTAAAATGTACCTTTCACGGTGACCATGGTACCGTCACCGACGTCGCCCAATGACACCACTTTAAATGCAACGGGCAATGTTTTGTTGGAGCGCCAATGCGGCGGCAAAACGGTGCATACAAACAATGGACTTCCCGTTCGTATCAATTCACCTGGATGCTCGGACAGAAAGTCTCCTAATGTGCGTTCGGCCAAAATGTCTGACGTCATTTTTGTGTATGCATCATTTAGCAGACTGGCTGCCGTTGGCGGCGATGTATTTTCGCTGGATGTGCCCGAGGCAGTGGCCGATGAACCTCCATTTGAGGTTGCGCTTCCGGTATTTGTGCCACTGCCATTTAGATTGTTGTTATTTGCTGTTGTATTACCGGTAAGATGCATCTTGGTGGTGATTTTTTTCCGAATTTTTGCAGAAATTTTTCTAACTTGCGGAGAAGAAAGATGAATTTTTATGTTGGGATTTTCCCTAATGCGTGACTTCTTTACTTTTCCAAGCGGAAAGTATTTTCGTTGAAAATCGTTAGATTTCGTAACTTTGTGCTGTTGAAAACTGTAATTTCGCGCGTTGAACTTTCACAAAATCCTGAAAACAAAGAGAAACAACGACTCAATAAATGGAAATGCAACATTTTACTCAAATCAGAATTGGATCAAAAATTTAGACATCAACTCGTTAGACAACCTCGGAACACATGCAGCGCATTTTGTAAATGCGTACGAGCCGAGGCATCGCTTTTGGAAAATGTATGAATTTTCGCTTGTTCAACTAGCAACAACACAACGTTTGAATCGCATAATTTAAATCTTATTGCTGACAATGAAATTGTTTCGGCATGGCAAATGGGACAGTGAGTGATGCAGAGAGCGCCATTATTATTATCAGGCATCCGGTTGGGCAAAAGCAGCGACGGCAGCAAGCGTTTTACGTTCAAAATGATAATGTGTAGACAATTGGATAAATATATGGTCAGATGTATACCTTTTTGGTTTAATGGTTTTGTTTTATATGTGCCGATTCCCTAACTCTCTCTCTCTCTCTCTCTCTCTCTCACACACACACACACTTGCCGCAACATTCGCACGCTTCAACCATACATGTATGTATGTCTATCGAAAGGCAATGGCTTCTCGGCCCATTTTCGAACCAAACATTTTCGTTAATGTTGAATGTTTAGAATGGCATAGCTCTTGTTTAGAGGTTTCCTGACATCAAAATGTTTAGCGGTCATCGAGCAATAGTCAGAAGTTGTTGCCACACTCTGATTGCGACACAACGACATTGTCGTTCGAAATGGATTCATCTACGATATAATTTAAGCGTGTACGACACAAAATCGTTGTAGTTGTTTATTTTTTTTAATTCTTATGGGCTAACTGTGTGACATTCAATTCGAGTTTGGTCCTGTCAAAATGAATCACATGCCTTTTCTAACCTTTGCATTTTGAACAACCGACCAAAAATTTAGACAAGAAAAAACCATTCTTGAACAAGGAATTTTCACCGTGAACAAAACCAAATTCCAGCATATTTTCATAGTGTATAAAAATATTTCATGCGATAACATTCTCCGGAAAACCTCATTAAATTATGCGAATACACCTGAATCGCAGTTATTTAATTCGGTAAGAAAAACCGAAATAACCATTTTCGGTTCGTTTGTGTGTAGATCTCTCACGAAGCTTATTCACGCCCTTTTCCCATTCTCTCTCTCTCTCGCCAGGCAAGAATCGTTGGTGTAGTTTCGTTTTTGATATGCAGCATAAAAACAATGATTTTGTGTTGGCACAAACCTCAAACAACAAAAACAACAACGGTTCAATGTGGTCAAAAAGGAACTACCATTGATACCACTGTAAATTCGTGAACTATTCACTTTTGTACGTATGTATCGTTCTGGTATTTTCGGACACCTTTTTCACCTTCACACATTCCGCAGTACATTCAACCACAATACGAGACAAACACGAAACAAAAAAAAATCACCGACACAAAACCGTTCAAAGTGCACCAACGCAGCAAAAATAGTTTTCTACATTTTCAAAATTTAGCGAAAATTGTGCTCTACAATTTCGAAATATTTGATTCGGTCATGTACGGAATTTAGTTAATCTTCAGCACAGAATTGATCACGAACGAAAAATGTATTATAACATTGATTAAATGAGATAACAACGCGCGAGTTGTCGCCTGTAAATCGGGCGAACGGTTTATGATTTATGAAATAGGAAAATCCGCGCGCGCTCGATAAATCGAAATATATTTTGTGTAGAGACTGGCGACGATGACGACGACGACGATGATGACGCGCTCTGGCACTAGTATGTGCTGGCTGCTGGCACACACGAAATACACACATATATGTGCTAAAGTGGTTACATCGATGGTTTTACGGATGTATGCTAAGCCAGGCACTTTTCAATACCACTCACTGTGTTTATACGAGTCGTGCGCGCGGAAAAATCCACCGCAAACAAACAAAATCGAAATTCACACCGAAAACACATTCAGCCACTTTTCAATATGTTTTTACCATAACAACGACCGTAGCTCGGTGGATCCGAATACCAAACTTATTTTTAGTCAGCTACAGCGTGGAATAACCTATGATTACCATTCGCTTCACTCTGTTACGTGAAATGGGCGATGTTGTACGTGCACTAAATTACGGCTTTGTTAATAACCCAGACATGATGCACGAGACTTTTTTTTTCAATCAAAATCAGAAAGCATCGAGCTGGAATTGCAAAGCAGCAGCGGCAGCAATCCACACAATCGATCCACTGTCAGGAATAAAATATTGCCGGTTTGTTTGTGATAAAATACATCGATTAGATTTGTTTGGTTTGGAGTTTTGGTGCACTTAAACAGCTATTACAATCACAATGCCTCCATATCGATCTTTCGATTTAAATGGCATTGTGGTATGGAAACGTTCGGAATTGCAAGAATTTTGATAAACATATTTTGTAAAGCACTTTTGATATCGCTGTTGGATTAAAACCGTGGAAATTATTTTACATAGGAAGCCTTCGGAATGGAAATTGCCGGAAATTGGTTTTGTTCTTACAGTTAGCACGTTAAAGTAATTTTAATGTAGAACATTCAATGGTGGTTTTAGTGCGAAACTCGGCTTTGGGGATAAAATTCATAGAATTTGCGTGTCATTTCGATCAAAATGAGGATTCGGTGAAATTCTAGCCCTATAGGGCTAACAATTAAATATATTCAATTCGTTTAACAAACAATTCTCTTCAGAAATACATTTTGAATCATGAAAACAGCAATAACTCAGAACAAAATCACTCAATTGTACTAGAGCAGTACTAGAGCACGACTCTCTATTTCAGTCTATTTTATCATTCGATTCAAAATTTGTTTATTTCAGCTGATCTTATTTTCCATTCCGAAAATATGAAAGAAAATGATAAAAGTGATCGCTTGTTCACAAAATGTGAGTCATTTACGGAACACAAAAAGAAAAATACCAACGGCCACACACATTGTCAAAGTATCTTCAACGTTTAACATTTTATCTCTTTTTTATTCAAACGTTTTTAATTACACACATTTTTTCATATTACGCTTTTTTTTTCTTCTCCTCTAGAGCTATTTTTCGGTGTCCGAAATGTGTTGTGCGCGTCGTCACATATGTGTCTCTTTGAGCGAAATATATAAACATGTTCAATTTTATGGCGAATATCACATGGTCGCGACCAAAATGAAACTAAAGAGAATTATTACGGTTATTAAAATGGTTGTACAAAAGTTCATAGGGACGATGCATTTTTTTTTCGGGTGTGAATGTGTGTTCAATGTGCCTCTATGTAAACCAAAAATAAATAAACATACACACATCACACGAAACGGCAGTAGCAGTAATCGTAAATGAGGCACACCATTTCGAAAACACATATAAACGCGAATGATTTCGCGGGGCCAACACATTGGGATATTCTCCTCGGAGCAATTATTATTAAAATTCATAATTCGTATGAAAATTTTTCTTTCACATAAACAAAAGACTCGCTTTGTTTACACGTTGACTATCTTTAACGTTATGATTTCCGTTCCGCTTTATTTGCTGCATTTCTGTTGTTTTTTTCGTTCTTCATTTGATTCGGGAGTAAATCTCTCGTATGGCGATACAGAGCAATTGTAGCAATGCCTAAAAAAAGAGTCGCTTTGTAATAAATTAATTAAAATGTCGAATGTGTGTGCGACATTTTAAATAATTCACTCTCTGGCAAACAATCGAGCACATATCATCCGTGTGGACTGGTGGAATGGGACATTCGATTCGAATTCGAAATACGGTGGAATATATAGACTTGGGATTGTGGAGAGACAGTCTCATGAATCCGAATTGCGTGTGTGTATGCAGAAGAGAGAGAGAGAGAGAGAGAGACAGAGAAAGAGAAAATTAATTTCAAATTGTCACCCGCATCTGGTGGAAACAATGTGTCATCGTCAACGACACGACAACACATATGCAATTAAGAAATCTCACACTCGCGTACGTACGTTTCGATGTGCGAATCGAACAAAGGCGGTTTAATTGCAATTGAAAAAGTTCGTTTTCCGAAGTCACACACACACACACACACAACACGGAACAAAAGAAAGAAAAATCGCAATTTTCAATGAAGAAAATTGAAATGTTTTCAGTTAAATTGTGCTCAATTCACAATGGTGCAATGCGAACATCATTTACACATGAGAGAAAGAGTGCTCGGGTCCACGAGTCGGTGGAAAGTTCGTTTTTCCGTTTTCTTTCATCGTATCGCATAAAGAAAACTCCTACTTTTTCTTATTCGCCCGTGTGCCGCAGCCAGCGCAGTGCGTACCATTTTCCATATTTTTTTTGGTGCTCTCTGTGTTCGTCTTCTTGCTTCTTTCGTGTCTCTTATCTGCCAAAGGGGTGGAGTAACTGGAGAAATGTGAACCAACGGAAAAGCGTCTTCTTTTTTCCTATGCTTTGTGATAAGAAATACCATCACTGTTGCCACCAACAATGCCTAACGAAAGATTTAAATGACAATTCCTCGAGGGAACATCGGCCGCTTTGGCAAAATTTCATCGAATTTTCCATTATTTGATCGAAATTGAATTTGATTTCCGAAGATTAATTGCTGTTTAAACATTCCATTGACAAAGTTGATGTTTTTTTTACTGTTATGATGAACGCAATCATCTTTATCCCTTCGAACAAATGTTCAAATTGACAGAAGCATGCAAACAGGTTTGGTCAACAATGCATGCAAACAAAAAAAAAGAGCAGCGTGGAAAGGAGAAAAAAAAATCGAAGCCGAAATAAAAACATCGTTGGCATAACCGCATGAGCAACCGAGCTGGAGGAAATAATAACCCAGGACGTAAAGCACACAAATTAATAATAACAAAATGTGCGACATTCCCCAAATGCACAAACAAAGTAAAAATGTCGAACGCGCACAGAGATAACCATATTAAATGAACGAAATGGAAAAAAATGAGTATATTGGTAGCGGGAGAGTGGCAAAAAAAAGTCAACAACAACAGAATGGCCGTGGCCAATCGACACGTATTTGAACAGAGAGCGCATCAATGATGATGATGATAACAAAAAAACGCCAGAGAGAAATTGGGAAAATAACAGAGATTGCCGAGCCGACCAACATAAAAAAAACGCACAGCGAGTGAGAGAATGCATGCAGACATACAGCAGTACAACCAACTGCAGTGAACTTGATATCGATGCCGATGAAATATAAAGCTCTAAATCACCAAAGCGAATAATTTTTTAATTTCCATTTGATATTTTAAACAAGCAGCTGAAATTTTCCGACGCTCTCGCCATCCCAGACGAATGCAATGGATCTTGTGCAGCTTTTTCGCTTGTTATCTGCATATTGAGCTCCATCAATTTGGCCATAGCATTACATGGTTGGTTAGCACGTTTTATGCTCGTGAACACAATGGAAAACGCAACGATACCGAAAGTGAATACAAACTCACTCAATCTCTCTTTCTCGCCCGTTCGGGAGCGTTTTTTTCTCTCTCTTGCTCACGCGACATATCTTTTTGTTTCAAACCGAATAAGTATAATCCAATTAAAATTCACTCATGTCACACATAAACACATGCGGAATGTACGTGAACGGTTATTATTCTTCTGTTCGGCTGGTTGTCGCATTTTTTCTTCTTTTTTTCATGCTGTTCATTACCAGTTTTCGGCGAGTTGGTGAATTTTTCACGTGAACACAAAACAACAACAACAACAACAACCGGACAATGAACAGAAAAACAACTGAAAAACACACAAAACTGGCAAATGAACATAAATTGGAATGAAGTGGAGAAAAGAGAGGAAAAAAGAAGCAGTAGTAGTAGTAGCGATACAACACGAATCGACCGGTACGGTTAAAAAAAAAAATGAAACGTGCATCGAGATGACCAACGGACGAACGCAATGTGTGATGTCAGAGGCAGCAATCAAAACAGCACAAGTGCACACACGTTTTTATTATCCGCCGCTTTCTGTTGCTATTCAGAATAGCAAAATGACATCGGTACACCGAATGGCAAAAGAGCCATCGAGTTTCAACAGAACAGTCGAAAAAAAAGAGAATCCCTGGCGCAACACACCAACGAACCGAAAACAAGAAAAAAAAACTCGCAAAAAATATTGAGTATGCAGAAAAGGTTTAATTGTATCTATTGGATAGGCTTTTTAACTGGTCACCCGAGCGAATGTCATAACGCAAAACGAACACGTTTTTTTTCGCTCTTATTCGTCGTGCCGCGCCAATTCGAAATGGTGAATAGGAAATTTTTGTGCACAAAAATGCCTGTCTGTTGGTTTTTTTTCCCGCTGTTGCATCGATGTAAATGGAGTTTTATGTGTGTTTACCGCCGCTTGGAACTGGAATACCGGGAGAAAAACAAAGCCCGAATGATGGAAAAACAAAGCGTAAAATATACACATTCATTTTCGCCTGCAAAAATTTACTAGACAACCAGAGACTGAGCAATATACGTACGCGTCGGTGGCGATGTTGGTCAATTTTTCTGTTGATGTGAACTCTCACTCGCTGTTTACGCGCATTTTTTTCTCATTCGCTCTCTCCCGCACGTTCGGCCTACACTTTTATTCCGTGATGCGTTTGGTGTTTTTCGGCAATGAAAATTCGACCGAAAAAAAGTTTCGCTTGCTTTTTTGCTTGTTCAGTTCACTTGTAATGTCACACTGCCAAAGAACGACTGTATAAAAGCCGGGAACAGATTGAAAAAAAAAATGCGGAAATTTTTCTAGCAGTCGGCTGTGAATCTAGTTAGTTAACGCCGATTTTGTGTGTGCAATGAATGATTTTTTTCCGCTTTATGTTCAGATATGTGTGTTTTTTGGTGGCTGCATACAGTATTTAAGTATTTAAGCGATGGATTTTTTTATCTGTACATTCGATGACTCGTGTTCTTTTTTCTTCTCTGTGTTGGCTGGTTTAACACATCAATTGAGTTCTTTAGTTCGGCGCTTGTATTTGTTAGGCGTTTAGTGTGATGTTGGCAATGTTGTGTTTTACCTCAAAAAACACTGCAAAAATCAATTGTTCAACATGATATGGTCATTTAAGCCGATGTGCGTTGTCGTTTTTTCCCTGCTGCTACTGCTGCAGTTGTTTATTTCTTTTTATCACTGTCGTTGGACGTATGGGTGTCTCTTTTATTGCCGACAAGTAACACTTGTTTTAAGTTAATTGTTGTGCCGTTTGTTGACTTTTTCTCTCCAACTTTTGTAATTCATTTAACGGATCATTGTTTTGTTTTTTTGTTTGCACACAGATTTTTGCCGCTTTTAATTGATGTGACTGATTTTGGTCGAATAAAACATTCTTTGTTAGGAGGAAAAAAAAACTTTCCCCAAAAAAATATCTTGCACTAAATCCAAAAAACTACTTTTTTAGTTGTCAAAAACACTAGAAAAGCTCAATTTAATTTGTCGCCAGAGTAAATTGAATTTCCTCGCCGTGGTATACGAAGAAAGGACTTTTAACACCAACCAAATTGTTTAACTGCGAACTTCAGAAACACTGTTCACTTGGTAATGGTCAATCATCGTATGAATATGTTGTGCTCTTGTTGCCCGACTATTCACTACTCGTGCGTTTGATTTTCTCGATGTTGTCTCTCGGATGGTGATGTTGCTGCTGCTTGTCGTTGCCACAACTTTTCGTAAATATTGGCATTTCACGGATTCACATGGATGTTAGGCTTATAGCTACAGCTCTCACTCGCCTGCACACACTTTCTATTTTATCAAACAAAGTGAAAAATATATGTACAACAATTATTCACACAAATACAGACACACACACGCGGGCGCCAAAATGCACAGGCAAATGGGCTCATTCGCTTGCTCTCACTCTCTCTCTAGCTCGAGTTAGCCCAACACAGCGCTCACGCTATATGGGAAAAATCGCATCAAACATATATGTGATACGATGAAGAAAGGGTTTCACACACATATGTGCTGTCGGTGCTGCTCTGTGTGTTGTAAGCAAATGCTTATGAATCGAATTTATTTTTGGTCGTATTTACATATGTAGCTAACGCTGCTCTCTCTCTCTCTCACTCTCTCTCTCTCTCTCTCTCTCTCTTTCGGAACGACGGAGAATGAGAATGAGCCTAGCGAGAATGTTGCGTTAGCAACTCAACCAAATTGTGTTTTGTTGCTATTGCCGCTGCTGCTGCTGCTGCTGCTGCTGCTGCTGCTGCTGCTGCTGCTGCTGCTGCTGCTGCTGTTGCCGCGGTAGCTGCATCGCACTTTGTATATATACAAAATTTATCCACTTTGCCGCACAATATTCAAACGAGTATGTGTTTTTACATTAATGATGTTACTGATAATAATCACTGGAGCTCGTATGGAGTTGCACGCAAACAGAAGCTGATTACATACACATCACATGATTATAGTACCAGTGGCAGTTTTGAATGTGAACCCAAAAACTACGATACTCTCTCTCACACACATACAGCAACGTGAAGCGGGGCAACCAAATACATAACCAAACGATTTTCTTTGCTCCAAACTCAAGTGATTTTCACTCAATTTTCATTTTGCTCAAATTTTCTCAAAGCCAGCGATTTTCATTCGATGTACTGGAATTCGCTTGACAGGGGGATTGAAATGTTCATAGCTAAAAGCTAAGGAGTTTTTTCAATTCTGCTTTGTTTGATTTTTTAGAACTTTTATTTCTGTTTTAGTACGCAATTTATCCATTTGGTAAAGTCGAGTGGAAAATCAAAGTCCAATAAGAAATTTTCGCATTGAAATTACACTCGATTGAGTGTCTAATTTATTTCTTTAAGAGATTCAGATGTTCATAATGATCACGAAAAAAAATTGATTGAAAAAAATTAATGACGAAAAAAATTGAAATCAAAATAAAAACAATTAAAAAAAATTCATTTCTGATATGTTTTAAAATCACGTTTTTCTGCTTCTTCTTTAAACAGCGTTTGTTCATTGAGAGTCCTATTGGATTTCATCAAAAATAATGCTGATCATACGCTCCATCGATCGACTGATGAAAATTCACTCAAAATGTTCCACTCATTTGCATTCATGTTGAGCCGTTTAGCAACGAGCTGTTATACATTGTCGTATAGAGTCAAACGTGCGCGCTCGTTCGCTCGTTAGGTATATAAAACGCTTGAAACGATGAAGAAGCATTTAAATTAATGATATAGGCAGCAGATAAGTTTCTGCGGAGTCCCACTAAATACACATAAACCGACAATCAACAGACCCGCACACAGAACCGTTGCTCGGAAACACACACATGCCCCAACGCTAGTGGCACAGTGAGAGCCGAGTGTCAATGGTGAAACAGAAGAAGACGTTCTGAAGCGTAGGAGAGAAGCAAAGTGCTGGCAGCTAGTGGAAAAAAGGCAACCGAGCCGAAAAATACGACGTTAGCCGTGTGTGTTGCACGCAAAACAACCAAAATTATGAAAACATAACGGTAAGAGAGACAGCAACATGCCGAGGCTGGGAGAGATAGAGTTGGCGAGCGCAGCGCGCACACACAAACCAAAATGTGGAAAATCTGTTGTGCGGTCAAAATGGGTTGGATCAAAAAAATCATTTATTCGATATGAAACTATACACTTGCACCACACTTGTATTCTATGTGCCAATGATAAAGTATGACATGTGACACTATCGGATGTTGGGAAATAGCGTGAAAATGAGGAGATCGTTTGGTTTTTTCTTGTTTTGAAAATTGGAAACATTCTTCGGTAAAGCAATAAAAGGGTAAATCCGGAAAATTTCTTCCCAAATCCTAGTGTTCTAATTGCTTTTCAAGCCCAAAAATCGTTAATAGTTTTTCTTCTTTCACAACAAGTATAAGAATGTGACAATAGTTTTTGAAACGGTACAGTGTTGGTATCGTCGTCGGTGGTGACGTTCGGTTCGTTTTGATAACGACGCAAAAACACGTGTTACGGGCGGAGTTAAGGAATGTAGTTGCGCGGTTCGAACGAGCTCCCTTACACACATACACATGCTCACGTACGAATTTGGCAATCAGTTTCTCACTCGCTCGTTCACTCTCACTGCACACACATCAAACACACTGTTATTTTCGTGGCCTCGTTTGCCTCTATGTATCCGGCCGTTGGTTGAACTGTGGATTTAATTAGAGCGCGCACACAAAAACTCGTTACATGGGATTTGCATGTCGTTTGCTCCTCTCCTTTACTCGACTTCGATGTATTAGTTCGGCACGACGTTTCACCATTGTAGGACCCTCATACACTACACACATGAACACATACGAGAGCCGAGCCGAGCACTTGCTCTTTTGTTTTTCGAATTTTCGGTCCTAATTTTAAATTATTTATTGCAGCAGCGGGCACACACATATCTCATACATTATCATAGCATCCTTTTTTGCACACCATTTTCTTATTCAATGTGCGCGCTCATTTGGCGCTTATATACAACCAAACAAACGACACAATACTCACTATGCTCGGCACTCGGGCTACGAGTATGTGTATGTGTATGTATTTTTTTTTGTCTGTCCAATTTTCGGCTAAGTGAGGTTACTCTGGCGAATAGTGTGTTTTTGGTGTGAAATCCCAGGGAGTTGGAGGCGAGCAAGAGAGAAAGAGAATGAGCGCGTGTTTGCTAGCCAATATACTGGTGGTAAAAGATGTAAACCAGATTTTGTGCTCGATGTGCGGTAGCTACATAATTGGAAAACCAGACCATAGTGAGGTCTTATCAGCGGTTCCAGTTAGTGGCCGAAACTGCAACCAATTTTCTATAAATATCTGTTATTCATGTGCCGCCACTGAATCGGTTGATTTTTCAACCAAAAACACTGGGTTCATATTTGATGGGAACCGCCCGACAACCGACCGACACATACCGACAGACACACAAAGAGAGAACATCAAATTCGGCATTCAATCGGTTCGATGGCACTTAAATGGAAATGATAAGGACCGTAATTCACACAGCTTAGACGGTTTAATTTCATTGCGTGCAAACGATTTTTGGCTTTCCATGGAATTTCGAAAGATTTTACTCTGGTGAGGCCGGCGGAAGATTTTATAGACTTTGAACATTTCAACGATAATTTACGAATTTTCACATGCAAAATAGGCACTTTTATCACCAGCAATTGTGTTCAGATAATGAAATCGTCTGACATAATCTTTTAACATTAACATTTATGAAAGGTTAAATCGTTCTCATTTACAGAATCTCCTTCAATGTAAATTTCATACGATTAAATCGCACCTTCTACGCAAAGTAACATACAAAACTCTCCATTACTCTCAAACGACTTCTTCAGTATTTGTTGGAAACTCATTTGGTGTCAAATATTTTCATCGCAATTGTTAACTTGAAATGCGAATTTCTTGAGCCCCAGAAAAATGTTACACAAAAACTTGACAACATAAAATCTTTTGTTTGTGGCATTCGAGGGAGTTGCACACACAATTAGCACATATGCATGTAAATTGAAAAAGACAAAAATCAAGCTTGTTGCTAACTGAGGCGTAAAAGAAAATGAGAACCCTCTTCGTGTTGTATTGCTGAAATCTTTTGCGTTTTCAAGTGCCAAGCAATCCGAACCATTGTGAAAATGGTGCATCGGTTTTGGCATACGTGTCCATGTAAGTCCCACTTATCAAGTAAGAAGTGTAAGAGTTTCTAAGGATCTTTTTCAGCCATATTCTGGCTGTAATCTGCACTGTAAGATGTAATAATGAGTGCAAGTATGCTAATTAAAGCGAATGATACCGTACAAAAGTGTGTTCATTTGTTCATTTGTTCAGTTTGTGCCACTTGTTTCGAAAAGTTTCAAATGCAAAAGCGATTTTCTTCTGCTCGACTTCTTCAAACTCGGTTCTCTGCATATGGGTACAATTCCTATTTATAAAACTTGGAAGGAAAAAAAACCCAGTCAAGCAAATGGCTTAAACAATGGAAATGTGCGTTCACTTTGACGAAATGTGAGAATGGTGCTCATTTTAATTGCTAATTAAAAACATTTTCTCGTGTACGATTTAAAATCAAGTGTTTTGTTTGATCTAAATGAGAACCATGTGGGAGAGAAAAATGCGACATACCAAATAAGATCCATACACATACATACTCACAACCGCTCAACATCCTATATTCGGATTAAATTGCTTTGGCTCAAGTATTTTCGTCTGCCTGCCAAAAGCATGCAATGAAGTCGATGCGATGGCTTGTGTGCGTGTGTGGGCGATAGGATCAAGATGAAGGCGAAAAATAGATAAAAGAAACCGCGTGATTACGATGTTTCATAAATCACTGCGCACAATTTTCGGTACAAAAATCCATCCAGAGATTGTTGGAAGACAAACTCAGCGGTTTTTCTCTGTTCGGTACACAGAAGAAAATCCCAATATCATCTCGATGCCTCAATCTATCGGTTCATGCATGAAAATTCATTATTATTGAAAATTTCATTTATGAATAAATAATTATTTCGTGTGCACACAAATTGAGTCTTTTGGAGCGAAAAGAATTTCCGATGCGATGCAGCATCGAACACAAACGAAAAGGGAAAAACTAAAATTCATTAAAATATTTTTGCCAAACTCTTTGGCAAGCATCAACCATAGCACTTGCTAAACTAAAGGAATTTCCAAAGAGTTAAAATTCC